GAGCAGCTCTGTGGGGAAGCAGGGCAGGAATGTAAAGAATCCTTCTTCCTGAGGAGGAAGGAGCAGCAGGAACCACCATCCTGTCAACTGACTCTAAGCCCCATCCCCCTGTGCCGCTGGGGGGAAGGAGGGAGAGAAACTGGGAACAGAGGGATTTGGGCCCGGGAAGAAGGGAGGGGTGGGGTAACATATGAAAGCCCTGCTCTGTGTGTGTCTGTGTCCTGTGGGTGTTTGATTAGTGTGAAATTAAATTGTTTTTCCCCAAGTTGAGTCTGTTTTTCCTGGGACCTTAGTCAGTGATGATCCCTCCTTGTCCTTTGTCTCGACCCAGGAGCTTTGTCCTCCTCATACCAGAGAGTGTGTGGGGAGTTGAGCCATGGGGCTGCTCCTTTGTTGTCATGTTGGGCCCAAAAGCATGACAAATGGTGTTTCATGTCTAGATATTGCAGCATACAGAGGTGAGGCCAAAATGTAGTGTGCACACTACTAACAACGTGGATTTTTTCAGTAGAAGACCCTGAAGGTGTGTTGTGTCAGGAAGGAATTATCCACATCTGCCAGGCCTGCGTGCTTTTCTGTTTGAGTCATGGAGTGACTCAACTGACATTGTGGGAGATACAGTGCAGGCAGCAGCTGATACTTCTCAAGCTGAGAGCTTCAAGGTTTAGATCAAGTTGTGATGCCAATAAGCAGTGTATGAGTCTGCATCTATGTAAAGTACAGACATAAATTGGGAAGTAAGCAGAGACTGAAGGAGTAAAATACATCGGTCAGCTGTTGTGGGTTGTCCGGGTGAGCAGCTGAGCCACCCGCTCACCCCTCCAGCAAGAGGGGACAGAGAATCAGAAGGGTAAAAGTGCCAGAACTGGTACATCCATTGATTCGTCCCATTGGCAGCAGGTTCAGCCACCCCAGGACAGGCAGGCTCCATCACATGAATGGTGACTTGGGACAAGAGCCGTCGCTCCCACCGTTCCCCTTTCCTCCTTCTTTCCCCAGCTCTTCTTGCTGAGCTGGGTGTCATATGGTAGGGAACAGGCCTTTGGGCAGTGGGGGTCAGCTTTCCCACCTGCGGCCCCTCCCTGCTGCTGCTGCCCCCCCTGGTTCCCCTCGCCAGGCACCAGGAGCCATGGAGACCTTGACACTCTGCAAACCCAGCGCAGCAATAGCTAAACCTTGGGGGTGTTAGCAGCACTGTTGGTCACAAACCAAACCACAGCACCCTATGAGCTGTTATTAAAGAA